TCCTCGGGCCCAGCCGCGAGGTTTCGGGGAATTGTTTCGTGCCCCCGGGGTTTTGGTGCCGCTAGTCCTGGGGCGAGCCGGGTTGGTGGTGTTGAAGCCTTCACGGCCTGAGGATGCTGGCAAGGCAAGCTTGGTAGCTGGCATGCGTGGTTTGTCTTAGATGAGTTAAAATACTACCTGGAAAAACACTCTTCCAAGCCCTGAAAAGTGCCTGGGCACCTAGAAGCTTTGGGGTTTTTGATGTGGTTTTTTTTCTTTGTCTAATAGAAAGCGTTACTGTTTTCAGAGGGCTTTTTTGGTCAAAATGTCCTGAAAACAGAAACATTTCTGTGAAGCTGGGTTTTAGAAATGTAGCAGGGTTTCTTCTCCCCTGAAGCTGAGCTCTTCCTCGCAGAAGCAAGGACTTGAGTACAGCTCTGGGTTGGTCTTCCAGAGGATTGTGTTTAATGCTCGGATGAGAAGGTGACCGTCGGGAGAAGACACGGCCGGGTGGGACCATTTTCAGCTCTTCCGGGCTTAATATGGTAGCTTTGTGCTGGCTTGTGTGCGAGAAACTTCTAAGCAAAACACGAAGTGCTGCACAGAGAGGAAACCAAGTGGGCATTGACTTAACACTGCAGCCAGGTGGAAGGGGCTGTTGGGATACACAGTGATTCGGGGGTTTTTTTGGGCTACGCAAAACTGAACTTCCTGGTAGCCTGGACCGGTAGTTAAAGCTCCAAAGTTTGCTTTTGCAAGGCTTGTGATGGTAAAGCTACAGCTGTACCCATATTGAACTTGGCTAGTTAATCTTTACTAATTTGCTGTTTTCAGCTGAAGCCGAGTTGGGGGTTTTCCTCCTGTGGCTGTATGAAACACTTGGTGTCAATCAGCTGCTTTATCTCTTCTCATCGGTGACTGGATTTCAGCCCAGGCAGGAGAAGCATTTTCCTCTTGGGAATGTGCTTAAGAAATATCTGAGAAGTAAAGTTGCTTTTGTTGGCTGGGCAGGAAAGAGCTCCAAAATGTTACAGTAGTTACAAACTTTCCATTATAAGAACTCAGCTTTAGTGGTTTCTAAGGTATTTAAGCAGGGTCTTCTTAAGTGGTTTTTTGGTGGTTTCTAACTTTGATTTTTCTGACCTTGTGGGCTGCAATTCTTGTTTCCAGGTGCCTCCCTCAGGGCGAGCGTTTTTGGAAGGCAACAACAAAAAAAGAACTCCAAATTAACAAAGACAGCGAGCAAAATGAGTGAATCTTAAGTTGCTGTGATTGTGTAATGATGTTCTAAGCAATCTCCCTTTCTCTTATTGGTATTCAGCAATTGCAGCTAAACTTCGCACCAGGCCTATGGAGCCACGAGGGATTGTCAAAGCCTTTCCCAAGAGGAAGAAGGTGAGGGATGACTCAGGGAAAAGCGTTCCTCCAAAGATCCCAAAAGAAGAAGGAACAGAGACGCCTGAGGGTAAGTCCTGCGTGCCCGTGATGTGGAATATAATACTTCTACCTCCTCTCGTTAACTGGAGGTGCTGTTCCCCCAAAGCGTGTAGAGATCATGGCCACCTTGCTTTGGTGTGTCCAACTGGTGCCCCCCAAAGACTGCCTGCCACTGTTGGTGCCATCAAGTCCTATGTGAGATATGTAGCCCCCTTGGTTTGGGACGCTATTTTTCTTGTCACTGAGCTCCTGCCCCTGTGTTTTCCTCAGCAGAGTGGCTGAAACCGGTCACTGCCTACGTGTTGCAAGCTGGCATTGGCCAAGCCAGGGCGGAGATCTTCCACAAGCAGATTGTCCAGAATGGGGGTGTTGTACACAACCAGCTCTCCTCGGAGGTGACGCACATCATCGTGGCTGAAGACATGGACTGTGATCGGGCTTTTCGGCTCCTTAAATTAACCAAGCTACCTTCAGGGTTGCAGCTAGTGAAGGCATCCTGGCTAAGTGCTTGCATTAGAGACCAGAAGCTGCTGAGTACGGCTGGCTACGGTGTCTTTATCCCTCACAGGTATGTAAATGCCATGCTGTCATTCCTCCCTGCAGTGCTTCTGTCCTAAACTGAACAGCACTAAAATTTGACCTCTGCTCAAAATCTCGGACTGCAAGTCCTTGCAGCTCCTGTGGGCATGACTCAGAGTCACTTTTCACCATACACACTGTGAAATTTAGTGACTTTGTGACTAGTTGCCATTCTGGGGTAGCATGGGGTAGCAAAACATGGAATAGAGCCCAGAAGTACTATCAGGAGTTCTGTCACTTGCTACAGTGCTAAAGGCACCTCTTCCTAATCCACCAGTGATAACAAGGAGATTTCTTTTAAAAATGCTGAGGATTAAATGCTGTTTCTTACTTATTGCAGGTGAAAAGTAGAGAGAGAATTGACAACTAGGCATGAGAGGATATAAGGAATGGAGCAGCAGGCAGCCACAGGTTAGGATCAAAATGTTTTGGGAAAGTTGTGGAGAAAGAGTCTAAGAGTGAGGCAGATAGGACTGGAAGTTGCAGGTCAGCGAGGTGGATGGAAACTGGGGTATTGAGCCAAAACCAGAGTAAATAATCTGTGATCTGAGAGAGCACAATTTATATATGTTGTTTGCTCCATCCCAGAACATGCAGAAGGATTTCTCAGCCAAACTTCTGGGAGCTGAGAATTCCTTCTCCTATACTAAGGCATCTGATCCATAGCAGGTACCTGGAGGAGGGAGAACTGCAGAAAGAGCAGCAGCAGCAGGTCCTGGGCAGTGAAAAGATCCAGCCCCCAGCAGAGGAGGGAGCAGTGGAACCAAATACTGAAGCACAGGCGGAGGATTCCTCGCAGCGAGGCCTGGGCACCCTTGGACAGCAGCAGTTGGCTGAGGTGAGGTTTCCCACACAGGCCCTTCTCCTTGTGATCCTGCATGCTGCTTTTCCTGGCTAAGAGCATCTCTGCAGGGATACAATGCCAGATCTTCTCAGCAACGGGAAGGCGTTTTGATGTTTCAGTGGGTTGATGCTGGCAAACTCAGGCTGTGGACATGGTTACTGCTTCTCTTTGTCCCTTTTAGGTGTTAAAAGTAGAAACAACACCCCTTAAATTCCTGTCCCCATCAGAATATTTCCAGCTGAAGCAGTCCTGAAGCAGTCCTCTGATCAGACCAAGGCTCACTCTGGTGATCATGTTTCCCCTGCGTCCTTTTGAGAAATATTCCCTGGCTGAGAATATCTCCGATTCAGGAAGCTGTCTCTGATATTTCATCCTGTGTTCCTGCCTGAGCCATACTGACCCATTCTCCACTCCTTGGCAAGCACCCTGTTCAGACACGTGTGCAGTGGATCAGGTTGCCACTCGAACGATTGTGGCGGTGTGCTTAAAATATCTGTGTTGGGTTATTAGTGGCCTCTGCTATGAGTCAGCTTCTCTGACCTGCTGTTAGCTTTCTTTCCTTTCTCTGTAATTTTGCTCAAGTTTGCTGAATTCTTTTTGGGCATTGGCATCATTCAAATCTGTCTGTAGCAAATTTACCCCAGACCTCTTAGAGCAGCAGCTGCCTTGTAATGCTGGCATCTGTTTTCTAACACAGTCCCAAATTTTGTTTTACAAAACCCTGTAGTTACTCCCTAACTGGCAGCCCACTGAGGGGTCCTTTTGTTTTAGGCTTTCTCTTGAATATGTGTAGGGAGGGATCTTTTCTCCCCAGACTTACTAGCCAGTGTGCTATAGGCAGAGTTGGCTGCTCCTTAACTGCATCACCTTTGCAGTTACCCCATCTTTGCTGTTTCTTGTAATTCTAATTTAACAGCAATCATTATTAACAAATCTCACAACGGGAGAAAGGATTTTTGTGTTGTTACAGATCCTGTGCTGTCTGCCCTGCTTTCTGCTCGCATTTACTTTGGGTGGTCAGACAGCTGCTAGATTCTGAAGCCTTATTGCCTTTTTTTCTTTTAAATCCCCTCAAGCAATGATATTTCCTGTTGTTAGTCTGTGCACAGAAGCAATATTGTAGACACTTCAGTAAAATTCCTTGTCCCAAGCTTAGGACTATGTGAGGTTGGGGAGGAGAAGAGAACCCACAGGATATGTTTTAAAGACAGTACAAACCACTTCTAAGACCCAGCTACAACAGTAAAGCTGAAGCTGAAATCTCAGCTTAGAAATAGCCTCCATTTAAGCATAGAGACTTTTCTAGCTTGGGTGGATGTTTTTTCTGTAGAAGATGATGAGTGTGCCAGTGTTTCATACTGAACAGGGGATGCTCTGGGAGTTCTACTTTTGGATGTAAACTCCTGTGAGGAAACCCTGTTACCAGTCAGATTGTAGCAACCACTGTGTGACTGGCATCTGGATGCAGTAGTTTTCTGCAAGGCAACCTGTGCAAGCTGCTCAAGTGGCATGTTGCCTCAGGTACTGGGCTTCAGCCGCTATCCTGGCTCCTGTGCTGTGCTGCAGACAAACCATGCACATCCCAGTCTCACCTAGCTCTAACGAGTCAGCTGCTGTAGGATGCTGGGGTATCTTAGAAGCTCACGGGACTAGTTGGTTTTGCACGTGTGGTTGTGAAGAGTCCATCAGCTTTGTTGGCGAAGTGTAGAGAGTCAGGGGTTTATGTGCCATTTCACCTGTGTGACACTGTTGGCCGAGGGGATGGAATTGCATGCTCCAGCTGCAGAGTTGTTTGCATTGTGCTTGGATAACATGTTCCTTAAATGCTTTTAAGGGGCTTACTAACCGATCCGAACACTCTGAGGCTTTACTGCCCTTCGAGGGAACAGTGTCTTAAGGGAGTTGTGTTTCAAGGCAAATAAAACTGCTGTAGTCTATCAAATCCTCAGTCTGACCCAGTTTTCAGAGTTATAAAACAAGATTACAAAAGGGAAACATCCTGCCTCTTCTGCCTAAAGACTTCAGCTCTGTATCTTGCAGGAATTGTGTCTCCAGATCTTCCTAGCCAGGAGAACCAGAGGTTGTAAGGATATGGCTCTGCCTTAGCTGACGCTCTGCAGAAACTCATAACAGGACTTGTGTGCCACATGTAACTGCTGGACTGATCCCAAACAGCCCTGTGCCATTCAGGGTTACTTCCACAGTACAGAAGCTCTTGGATCTTCATGGACTCCTGTGTTTATACATCAGGAGAGAGGGGGACCCCAGTGAGCAAAGCAGTCTACAAAGCGTCTGTGTGGCTTCCCACTTCTATCCCCTTTTGTTCGTTACCTGAAGCCGAGGCTCATTGTTTCTTAAGTCCACACAGAGGCATCCTAATGCTGAGGGTATCAGCAAATGTATACATTGGTTCTTTCTTCTGTCACTGAGGAATGTGGAGTCCTTTGTGTCATTCCTTCCTCCCCCTTTTCTCTTGCAGATAGCCATGGGGAAAATGGGGGGGTTGTAATTTACTACCCTGTTAAGATTTTGTGTCTGTACCGTGAAAACAGAGTTCAGTGCGTATCTCCTGTGAGCTGCGTCATGGGGTGGAAGGTGCAGAATCTGAACGTGAGAGATGTGTCTATGCAGCCACCAGACCAGCGAAAGGTTTCCCAGTGGGAGCAGGGAGTCAGGATCTCCCCCAGCCAGGGATTTCAGCCTTGTCATACCATGCTGCTGGCAGCAGTTGCTTACTTAACCAGTGTCTTACCTCAGTTAGGTCTCAGGGGCTTGGCTATAGGAGGTGTGTGTGTGCTTGGATCACAGGTGGACTGCAGTCTCTGGTCTCTTGTGATTTGTGAGATGTGCGTGTAGCTTCAAGGGGTGCATGTGTAGTTTGGGGCATGAAGAGCTATGGTGTGCATATAACCAACCGCTTCTAGAGATGGCAATTTGAGCACTGCATGCCCTGGAGGTTGGTTAGTGCTCTGACTTCCTACTCTCAGGAGCAGCCTGTGCCAGGGGGACATATGTGAGGCATGCACTTATTCTCACATGGCTGCTTTTCTACCTCTCCCTAAAGAAAGTCTCTGATGATGAAGACAGTGAAGGAGAAGATGCAAGTGTCACCCAGGGAGATCTGGAAGCACTGATTTCTGGCCGCTACCCTGTGAAATCGTCAGAGGAGATCAGTGACAGCTCTTCCGCGGTGGCCCAGCCTGCCAGCAAGTGGGTTTGTGCCCATTCCTCCAACAGCAAGAAGGAGAATCACAACCAGTGCATCACAGAGAAGCTGGAAGTGCTGGCAAAGGCCTATTCTGTCCAGGGGGACAAGTGGAGAGCTCTGGGCTACTCCAAAGCCATCAATGCACTCAAGAGCTACCACAAACCGGTCACCTCCTACCAGGTAAAACATCTTCCCAGGGTGGTGGAGTGGGGAGATAGACCCAGCATCCTAGCTCTGTTATGAGCTAGATTCCTTTCTCTTTCTGTACGTGGAATAGCTTATCTTTAGGCTTTGGCAATCGCCTCCTGTGGGAGAATTTTGATGGAAGTTGTGTAGCAAGTGCGAGTAGTATTTGTTGACCACCTGCAGTGTTTTCAGATGAGCAGGAAAGGGGAGTCTGTGTCTTTTAGAGCCAGATCTGAGCACCTGTGAGATAAATGCCTTCTCCAGGCTCAATGCAGGGACGTTTTCACCTTCCTCTTAGGCATCAGCAACTGCCACCATTGGAGATAATACATAAAACTAACTGGATCTAGGCCTGATTGGCTGTGACAGTCCAGCCATTCAGTGTGTTAGTGTTTCAGTCCTGTTCTGCATGCTTGTCCTTTTCCACTTGGCATTGAATCATAGAATGATAGAATAGTAGAATCAATGTAGCCTGTGTAAGCCTGGCCTAGAGAAGACAGCAGTGGTCAGAACTAGTCCCGCTACTTATCAGTCACTGGTCTAACCAGGCTCTGAGTGGGTAGCAGCTCCCCAGCTTGTCTGTAGCCTTCACTTTTCCAGTAGCGGCTCTGGTTTCTTGCTAGGAAGCCTGTAAAATCCCTGGGATTGGGAAGCGAATGGCAGAGAAGATTCTGGAGATCTTGGAGAGTGGGCATCTGCGCAAGCTGGATCACATCAGTGAGAGTGTTCCTGTGCTGGAGTTGTTTTCCAACATCTGGGGAGCAGGGGTCAAGACAGCTCAGATGTGGTACCAGCAGGTAAGTTTAGTGCCTTACACAAGAAGTTCTCAGACTAGGGTTTGAAGACTGCTTCTGAGTGCAGAAGAACTACTTTCACAAATAGTTTCCAATTGCCAATATCCACAGATGGGATTTGAGTCTGATGTTATGGGAGGAGCTGTGAGGCTGGGTCCCGTTGTGGGTGTGTTTGGGGAGAATGGAGCGCACCCGGCTGAGGCTTGAGTTTGAGGATAGGCAACAAAGACATGCAATAGGAGGAGTGGGGGACAGACTCCTCTTCCATTAGCATCACCGCTTGGAGCTCACCTCACGCTGCTCACTGCAATGACACTGCTAAGAGCCAGGCTTGAGCCAGGACATCTTGGCCATGAAAGCTCCTGATCCAGTTGCTGGCCTGTTGGCCTGGCTGGCTCCTGTAGCTGTCAGAGCAGCCGTCCACCTTGCCTGGCAGTTGCAAACATGAGATTAAAGTAATTGTGCCAACATGAGCAACCTAGGCCACTGGTGGGTTCCTTCTTTAAAAACAATTTGTTTCCTGAGCACAGAGCTAATGAAGCCTGCTTTCCTGTAGCATTTGGTTTGTGACTGGATTCTTTGCTTAAAAATATGGTTGTGTTCACACTGTAGGTTTTCCCTCATTGGGATATTCTGGGTGTTGTTCCTTTACCTGCATCACTTGTTTTCCTTCAAGCTGTAGGAACACAGTGCCTTAAAAACAGAAGCCTTCTGTCAGGTTTAGTTAAGATTCAAAGTCATTGTGGGGTGGAGATTAGAGGTGTATGTGGGTAGTGGGATTGCCTAAATCCCTTCTTTTAGGAACCAGGCCCTAAGTGATCTCTACATGTGATTTCAGACACTGTGACTGGCCTGGACTTGAGACAGGTTAAATACAAATCTTGGTTGAAAGTAGTTGAAGAGCGAAGTCTCAGTAGATGTTTGAATATCATCACATGGTCTGCACTAGGGTTTCCGGACACTGGATGATATCCGCGCCAAGGCGACTCTCACCAGCCAGCAAGCTGTGGGGCTGAAGCACTACACGGATTTCCTGGAGCGCATGCCTCGGGAAGAAGCTGCAGAAATAGAACAGACCGTGAGTAGCTCGGCCCTGGGCCCTCAGAGTGGAGTTCCTGCTGGGACGTGACAGGAGGGTGCTATGGAAGTGTCCCTCACAGTTATAGCTGAGCTCTTCAGACTCTCCTCTGAGCAGGGTCAATGCCTGGGGGACTGTTTTTGGGCACGGGCACACAAGGCACCTACTTTGGCCCATAGGAAGCTTCAGTTTGAGTGCCTGGCAAGGAGGAGGATACTTCACAGGTGTCAGTTCTACACACTGCTTTGAAAAAGGCTGCGTGTGGCATGGTGGGATGAGCAGGTTTCCAGCTCCTCTTTCCTGCCTCTCATCTTCCCTTGAGATGTCTGCTTTCAGCTGAGGCCCCTGAGCTGTCTCCCTGGTGCTGCTTCTCCAAAGGAAGCTGTGAGAACCCTGTGAACTGGTTGTCAGTGGGGAGACTGAGCATGGATATCCTTGCTGGAAGCAAAGGAGATTCAGGTTGCGGATGGGTGCTGCTTGCTCTACTATGCCATGACACTCCAGGATTATGGGGTGCTAAGCCAGTGTACCCTAATGTGAGCAGAGAGCTTGGGGGACATGCCATCATTGCTACCCCTGTGCTCTCTGATCACCATGGAAGCAGCAGCCAGCGTGACCCTGTCACTCGGCCACAGGGCTTGGCCAGGAAGAATACACTCCTGCCAGGCTCCTGCTGGGGTGTCAGTCCCGTGTGCCGGATTAGCCATTTTGGTGGTGAGTGGTCCCTTTCCCAGGCAGGCTGGGCCGAGGAGCTGGCTCTTGGGGGTGGGTCTATTGTTATCTTGATGGGATTACTGCGCTCCCCTCCATACACACGCACACACCTCTGATCCAGGCCCAGGAGAGAGAATGAGGGATTAGTCACTGTCTGTGCTGCCTGTCACAGTGAGATCTGAGGAGCTTTTAGACTCTCGGGTGGGGCTGGGAGTTTTCTAGAAATCTTCATTTAAAGCCGGGGCGGGGGCAAGGACACCAGAGGAGGGCTTGCTCCGCATGAGAAAGGCTTGTGGCTTCTTGGAGCACCTCTGGGGCAAAGGTTAATGGGTTTATCTCTTGCTAATGAAGGATGATCCCCAAGAGTGACAAGGGGCTGTGGGCATGGACACTGCCTTCCTGTACCCCAGCCTCTGTGATGGCCTCATCACTGGGAACTGCTGAGCCCCTAATTATTTGCTGCCAGCAGGATGATTGGCACAATCAGAGCAAGAATACTTTACTCCTGTCCAAGGACCTAGGAGCCTTTCTTAAGCATTTAATGAATGAAGCCATCAGAATTAGCACTGTCTGCGCAAAACAGGAGCTAGGGTCCAGCCTGGAGGTGGCTGCATTAGGGGAAGTTCTGATTTTATGTGTCTGATTGCTGGCAGCAGCATGTTGGCAACCATTTGGTCTAAAATGCTGGGACATTTGTGGTTTTTCCGGGTCACAAAGCCCAGCTCTCCTGCAAAGGCAGAGCTCCTGGCAGAATTGGACTCCAAGGGACACTTGCAGATTTTCTGCTGTCTTGGGTCCTGCTGGGGAGACTCTCCATGAGCCCATCACTGCTTCTGAAACAGGACCTGTGACCATCTTGTGTTGAACTGATTCTTTTTGTGGGCAGAACGGGTAAGCTTTGCCCTCATGGACCACAGGAGAACTGAAAAACCTCTTCTCTCCTGCTGTCTCCGAAACCAAGGCTCTGAAAGATTGTGCTGTACTTTGCTTCCTCACATTGCTGCATCTTCCTGCTTGTCCCAACCCAGCTTCAGCCCAGTGCCCCCAAGAGCTGATGACTGATGGTAGTGCCATGGTAGATCGTTGTATTGTGTGGCGGTGTGCTGGGCATTTGCAGGACTGGGTGGAGGCCAGCCCGGCTCAGGTGGCTCCTGACAGCAGGCCAGCCTCCTTGGTGGGGCAGTTTGCCATGCCTGCCAAATGTCTGCTCTGTATGGAGACCCTGGCGATGCAGGACAGGCCGCAAGGCAGGCACAAGATCCTTTGCTGCCTTGATGGAAAGGGCATGAAGAGACTGGTCTCTGACTCCTCATCCCTCTTTCTTTCTTGGAGGTCAGACAAGCTGCCCTGGCCCTGAAGCCTGGGCTTGTGTGTGTGGCATGTGGCTCCTACCGTCGGGGGAAGCCCACCTGTGGAGATGTGGATGTGCTGGTCACTCACCCAGATGGGCAGTCTCACCGTGGGGTGTTCAGCAAGCTGCTTGACAGCCTCCACAGGAGCGGTAAGAGGGCTGGGGACTGGCACATGGTGCTTGAAGCTGTTCTTAGCATGGCCAAACTGAGGAGGCAATGAGGTGAATGGCATTCATTGAAGGGCAGGTGATCGCTTTTCCCAAGGACAGGGCATCTTGTTAGCCCTTAGACTACTGCCCCTGGTCCTGGCCCTACTCCAGTGACAGCTCTGCAGCCAGTGTTAAGGAGGGAGTGTTGCTGCAGCTCAGCATGGCTTCTTCTGTCTGCGTGAGGCTGTTAGGGCTGAGTCTGGGTTGCCCTTGGGGTCCCACTGCACGTTATGAGACACCTCAGCTGCTGTCTTGACAGTGGGGAGTTTGGAGTGGGGGTGTCAGTCTCTGCCATTCAGCTCCTCTCTGCCTGTTCCCTCTCCCCAGGCTTCCTTACGGATGACCTGGTGAATCAGGACAACGGTGATCAGAAGAAGTACCTGGGGGTGTGCCGCCTCCCTGGGCCAGCCCGGCGTCACCGCCGGCTTGACATCATCGTGGTGCCTTACAGTGAGTTCGCCTGTGCCCTGCTCTACTTCACCGGCTCAGCTCACTTCAACCGCTCCATGCGGGCCCTGGCCAAGACCAAGGGCATGAGCCTCTCGGAGCATGCCCTCAGCTGGGCTGTGGTGCGAGACCCTGGAGGCGTCAAGGTGGCATCTGGCCATACTCTGCCCACTCCCACTGAGAGAGATGTCTTCATTCAGCTGGGGCTGCCTTACCGGGAGCCCTCAGAACGGGACTGGTGACACCTAGTTGTCACCCAGCACCCTGGGCCCACTGCCGTGCTGCTGTTTTGAAGGGTGCTGGTTTCCCCGGTGCTTCTCTGTGGTGACTGCAGACTGGGGAACATATCCCAGCAAACTGGGGCTCCTCGCAAGTGCAGGGCCCTGCTGCTGGCAGAGCTATGTGGCTTCACCCAGCAGAGGCCATAGGCTGGAACCACACTGGAAGCGTTGCCTGATGCCACAGGCAGCCCCTGGCTACCAAAAGGGCTTGCTGCCCATCAGCTACCCTGGCCCTGCTCTCCCCGGGTAAGCTTCAGAAGGCTGGGCTGCAGAGCCTTGTGATCCAGCCCCTCACAGTGCTTGAGAACGAGGGAAGTGGGATGTGTCTTCCTCTGCGTCTGAGCACAGACACCGCAAAATCTCTGGCCTGAGCTGTGTATGAAGGCAGCCAGGGTCTGGCTTGGCCCTGGAAAATAGGTCTTCCCCCTTCTCACTACTGCTGGCAGTTGCTACTGCGGGAATCATGAAGGGTCCCCCTGGCCTGCTGCTGTGTCCTCCCTCCATCTGAGCTGACTTGTGTCCTCTGGTGGGTCTCACTGCATGGGTCCAAGCTGCTGTGACTGCCACCAGCTTCCCCTGGTGCCAGGTAAGCCTTGAAGGAGGCGTAGGGATCCGATGTACTGTGCCTGCTTGCTGTCAGCCCGTCGTGTGCTGAGGATCCCCCAGTGCAGAGCTGTGATCCCCCCGGTCTGGCCCCAAGGGCTCCTTTCCTCTCAGTGCGGGAGAGGAGCAGACCTCTCGGCTCAGGGGAGCTGTGCTCAGGAAGGGTGTGAATGTAATGGCACTGAATGTAACCTGGCAGGGCTGCGTGTTTGTGCATAGGAGGCACGGAGGCAGAGAGAAACACGAGGAGATGGTTTAGTTCTAATGTGGGCGAAGCAAAGCTTTCCCTTTGTACATGTGGAACATGGAGTCATCTGGTCTTTGATCAGAGAGTGTGTTCGTGTATTTTGAATATACATGTACATGTGTGCTGGCCCCGTCAGTTCCATGGGAGTGAATTTTATTTCTCAGGAAAACTCAACTATTTTTATATTCTGGAGATGAATGTCCCAGAGACTTGCAGTGCTCTGTCTCTGGTGTGGGTATTGCAGTGGTTCCTCCTGGCAGAGGTGCTGCTCTGCGGCATCGGCTGCCAGGAACGCCACAGTGGGAGTTTCTGTGCCAGGACCCCAGGGCTCCCTCTGGCCGACTCTGGGCCTGGCCTGGCCTCCTGCTCCCTTGTCTTGTGGTGGACCCGGCCACCTCTGCACTCTGCCGTGTCTTTGTCGCGTGCAGTGACAAGCTGCGTGTTTGCTGCCAGGGCAGGCACAAGGGCATTAAACCTGGTGGGTTTGCACAGTTTCTTGCTGCACTGTCAGCCGTGGCTGCTGGGCACCAGTAGTGGGGCTGGGGTGTCTTCAGGAGAGGCCTTGACCCCAGCAGTGTCATTTGTCAGCCCAGCCTTTCTACTGAACACCTGATGGAAATGAATGTCTTCTGGCATGTCTTGGTGCTTTGAAATGTGAAGTATAATAAATCCCTTCTCTCTTTTTCCGTCGCATCTTTTTGCTGTCTGCCCTGCAACTGTTGGGACTCTCCCTCTGGCTGACCAGGAGCCTCTCCTGTGCTGGCCTGTCTTCCTGTTTTCAGTACAGGCAGGGAGAAGGCAGTGGAGACCTTCACGCTGTTGGATCACCACTTCTGGCTCTCAGGGCAGGGAGTTGCTGGCCACCATTCTCCCACGGCAGAGCGGGACCTGGCTCTGTCCCGGCATCCAGCTGGCCATGTGGCCGAGCCCAGGGAAAGGAGCAATTCCCAAGCTCCGAGCCTTGGGCTGAGCTCTTACTTCATGTGTGGAGTCAGGAAGGGATTGCTGTCAGCTTTTCAGTATTTCGTCAGGGTAGGGTATGTGGGAGTTGTCTGCTGCTCTGTCTCCTGTTCTGTGCCTGGAACGCAGATCCTGAGCATGGAAATGCTTTGGTTTTCCAAAGGGAATCTGAAGAGTCTGGAAGCCAAGGGGGCACATGGAGATGAGCAGCAAGAAACATTGGCTCACAAGGGAGATGGAGAAGCTGGAGAGGACCAGGGGCTGCTGGGGTGGGCAGAGGCTGAGGCAGAGCCAGCGAGGGCTGGGCTGGGTTCTCCAGGGGCAAAGGGGAGTCAGCCCCAGACCAGGGCCTGAGAGGTCCAGGGGGAGCGCACTCTCCCCAGGAGGGCTGTGCAGCCCTGGGACCAGCCCCAGAGAGGACGGAGTCCCCATCCTTGGGGTCATCTAGGCTTGGCCAGGCAGGGCCACAGCTGCCTCATCCAGGGCTGGGGATAATCCTGCCCCAAAGCGAGGTTGGATGGGGGCTCCCTCTCCCTGCAGTGCTGCCGGGATGAACCTGGAGGATTTTTCCTAGAGCCTTATGGCTGGCAGCCCTGGGCATGGGACAGGTTCTGCCTG